TTTTATTTAATAAAAAAATGGAAATTATTATTTTATTATTTTGGTTTTAATAAATCAGTATTATCATCTAAATAAATCCGATTTAATACTCCTTGTTCAATAAATGAATCTTTTCCATAATTATTAACACAAATTGATGTATATAACATTGCTATTTATTATTATTTTTATTTCTTATTTTTATTATTAATAATTTATTTTATACAAACTGTTTTTATCTTCTAATTTATAATATAATGTTTTAGTTATTCGTTCATCTTTTTTTATACATTCTAATATAATTGTCATCCATTTCCCATTTATTTTTCCAATTCCAATTTCACTATAATCTTTTTTAATTTAATTTTTGATTTTTATTTTAAATAATTTTTAAAATATATTCAAACCATCTGATCGAAATTCAAAATCTGAATCATCTCCTTCATTTTTACCAAATACTTCCATTACCATTGTTGGATAATTTTGTTTATTAACTGTTTCTGGATCATCTGTTGTTGTCCATCTATAAAATCTACGATAATCATTTGTTAATACTTCTACATTAACTATCTTTTTGTGTTATTTTTGATTTTTTATTGTTTTATCTTTTGTTTTAACGAGTAAAAAATACAAACATCTATTATAACATTTTTTGCTTCTTTCTCTGGAAATCCTTTTTGATAATTAAATGTACGTTCATTTAACTTCCATGTCCCAACAATTAAATTACAAAATTCAACTATTTCTTTCGATACTTTTCTTCCTTCCATTTCTTCAATCTCTTTTTTTTAAGTTCTTTCTCTTGTAAATTGTTTTAAATAACATTTTATTCTTTCTTATTATTTGTATTTATTTTTTCTTTTTGTTTTATTTTTTAAACCCTATTTCTATTTTTATTTTTTAATAACAAAAATTAATAGAAACTTTTCTAACAAAAAAAAAATTATTTAATTTAACAATGTTTTATTCATCAATTTTAATACTATTTACTATAATATCTTTATTTAATTAAATCTATAACTAATATAGTATTGAATATAAATAAATTATAGGTATTAGATAAAAGATATTCAATTTTTTGTTAATAATGTAATAAATATACTATAATTAAAGTCATTTATATGAAGAATTTATCCCAATAGAATAAAAATTACTCAATAATTTCATTATATCGATTTTTATGTAAGAATCATTTAGTAATATTTAAAAAAAAAGTATTAATAATAAACAATTTATTTCATTAAAATACTACAAAAATACTTTAAAGTTAATAAATTCTTTTAACTCTCATCTATTCTTCTAACTATTGAAATTTTTTTTAAATAAAATAATTATTATTAAAGTATTCTTTTGAAATACAATCAAATAACTAACTCTATTCTTTGAAAAAGAATAAATAAGTTTAAGAGTTTTTAAAGTGAAATACGTTCTAAATGAAATAAGAATGATATTTTCATTTCAAAGAAAGAAATAAATGAAGAAGAATAAAAATAAAATAAAATAGTTAATAATAAAGAAGATGAATGAGATAAATTGAACTGATGAGTAAAAGAAAAGATAAGGTACGTAGTCTCATAAAGAAGTTTTAAATAAAATAGAAAAATAGAAAAAGAAAAACCCTTAGCATCTTATTAGATTATTTAAATAAAATAATGAGTGGATTAGCAATTCAACGATTAACTGAAGAAAGAAGATTATGGAGAAGAGAACACCCACCAGGATTTATAGCAAGACCAAGAACAACAAAAGAAGGAACACCTGATTTATTAACATGGGATTGTGGAATTCCTGGGGCAAAAGGAACAGAATGGGAAGGTGGAATTTATCCACTCACAATGGAATTTACTGAAGAATATCCAACACGACCACCAAAATGTAGATTTCCAAAAGGATTTTATCACCCAAATATTTATCCATCAGGAACAGTTTGTTTATCAATTTTAAATGAAGAACAAGATTGGAGACCTTCTATTTCAGTTAAACAAATATTATTAGGAATTCAAGAATTATTAAATACACCAAATACTTTATCACCTGCACAACCTGATGCATTTAAAGATATTACGAATAATAAAGAGTTATATCATTCAAAAGTTCAAAAACAACGAATTCAATATGATCAGGAGAAGTTCACACTTTAATAAAAAAAAACACATTGTTAGCAATTGAATTATTTTTCGTTATTTTATTCTTTTTTTTTTTGTTTTTCAAAATATTAGAAAAAAAAAATTAAAAAAAAATAATTAAAAATAATTAAAAAAAAACTTAAAAAGAGGAGTTTTACTTCAATGAGCATCACACGAAAAAGTCTTACAGAAGGTAAAGGACCTATCAATCGTATTATTCGTGTTGAAAGTTTGTTTAATAAAAAAAAACAATTAAAAAAAAAAGGAATAAAATAAAATTAAAAAATGTAGTTATTTCAGGTGAAAATTTATTTCCAGTAGCAATGACATCAGGAGAGTCGTATGTTTGTTAAATAAAAATTATTAAAAATTATTAAAAATTATTAAAAATTAAAAAAAAAGAAGAAAAATCAATTTTTAGGTTTCAGTAAATGTGGGAGATAAAAGTGGAAAAATGAGAGTTAGTAGAAAAACAACAAATAATTATTTCCATAGTCCAGATAATAGAATTGAATTTAGAAATGTTTCACCTTCAACAAAAGAAATTATATTTGAATTTCATGATCATGAAAAAAGAAAATCAGCAAAAAATTGGGGAAAAAGAATAAATATTAATCAATTACTTCCATTTAATACAAATCATATTAAATCATTTGAATTAGAACCTATTGAAGAAAAAGTATCATTACATTCAGAAATATCTACACCAGTTACTGGAATTGTTTCACCTGAAAATATAATAGTTCCAAGTACACAAATATCACAAACAAATATAACAAATTCTATGACATCATTAAGACTAGAAAAAACACAACAATTTACAACAATTTCAGCACCATTACCATCTTCAACTCCAATTAAAATGACACCAATGAAAAAAACAATGAGTCCATCAAAATTAGCAACAAAAATATCAAGTGAATATCAATGTCATCGTATTATTCAACCAGATTTATTAATGAAAAAAATTTCAAAACCAAAAATTACAGTTTCATTATATTTATTTCCAGAAGTTGATCCAAAAACAGAAAAATCATATAAAACACTTCCATTACATAATGCAGTTGAAAGATCAGATTTATATAAAATATTAACATTACTTGAAAGTGGAAAAGTTGATGTAAATGCACAAGATGAACAAGGAAATACAGCACTTCATATTGCTAGTTATGAATCATATAATGAACATATTATATTAGCATTATTAAAAAATGCACCAACTATTGATGTAAATAAAGAAAATTTAGATAAAAATACACCATTTCATTTCTTTTGTAAAAATTTTTCAAATCCAAATTGTCAAGAAGCAATGGAATTATTTTTTAGACATGGAGTTAATTTAGAAGCACAAAATAAAAATTTAGAAACAGCACTTCATACAGTTGTTAGAAATAATTCAATTAGAATGTTATTAGTTAGTAAATTATTAGAAAGAGGAGTTGATGTAAATGCTGCAACAAATAGACAATCAACTGCATTACATTATGCAATTCATAATGAAAGAACAGATTTATTATCAATTTTATTAGAACATAAAGCAAAATTAGATCTTCCAGATGATCATGGACAAACACCATTTATGTTAGCTAAAACAAAATCAGAAAGATATTTTAAAACAGTAAATGATTTTAAAGAATTAATTGATTATCTCATTGAGATTAAAGCATCAGATAATGCAATTGCTATGTTAGTTAAAAATAAAATGTTTAAATATAAATTAAGAAATCAAACACCTAAAACTCTTGAAAAAATTGGAATTTTATCATCAGTTGAACGTATTGCATTAATTCAAAAATTTAAATTATTACCAAATGTTCCTGAAGTAAAAGAAATAACAGAAAATGAAAATGAACAAGAAGAAAGAAAAAAATTACTTGAATTAATTGAACAAGGTAAATTTGTAATTGAACCAAAAGAAATAGAATTTCTTGCAAATATTGGTTCTGGAGCATCAGGAATTGTTTATACTGCAAAATATAAAAATGTTACTGTTGCTGTTAAAACATTAAAAGCTACAAATATGGAAGAAGTTAAAGAATTTCAACAAGAATATGGAGTATTAAGTAAATTACAACATGAAAATATTGTTAGATTTTATGGTGTTATTGTAAAAAAACAATTTTCAATGGTAATGGAATATTGTTCTAAAGGAAGTTTATATGATATTATTTCTAAAAAAGAAAATTCAATTACTTGGGAAACTGTTTTTGATTATGCTGAACAAATTGCATTAGGAATGGATTATCTTCATTCAAGAACTCCACAAATATTACATAGAGATTTAAAATCTTTAAATATTTTAGTAACAATGGAAACTATTCAAGAAAATGGAAATTCAATTGAAATAGAACGTTTAAAAATTTGTGATTTTGGATTATCTCGTTTTGATTCTGAAATAACTACTTCTACAAAAGATAGAGGTACTTATGCTTATTGTGCTCCTGAAGTTTATTATAATCAACGATATACTACTCAATCTGATGTTTATAGTTATGGAATTATTTTATGGGAATTAATTTATAGAGTTATTTATCAAAAATATCAACGTCCTTTTCAAGAATTCCCTGAACTTACTATGGACCTTCAAATTATTATTCAATCTGCTACTTGTGATCTTAGACCAACTATTCCTCCTTCTACTCCTCAAAAAATGGCAACATTAATTAGACAATGTGTTATGAAAGAACAAGAAAATAGACCTAAATCAGGAATGATTTTAACTGCTTTACAAGAAATGAAAAAAGATTTTAAATCAAATCCTCAATTATGGAACGCTTCAATTATTCAACAAAATTAAATATTTTGAAAAAAAAAATTTTGTTGTCAGTTCAATTTATTTACTTTCAATTTCAATTTCTTTTTTGTTTTGTTTTAATAATTTTGAATAATTTGAAATTACCAGTCAAATTCTACTTTTTTTATTAAACAAGCATCACTTTTTAATTTTTCTTCTGCTTCTTTTAAATCATGAAGAGAATCAAATTCTTCAACATTATTAAATTCATCAAGTGATTGTTTAATTAATGGTGTTTCACCAAAATCTTGAGGTATAATTTCTTCAAATTTATCCATTTCATCTAACCATTCTAACATTCCATTCATTTTTTCATCAAAAAGTATTTTTGTTTGTTCTTCTTTTAAAATATTAATTGGAATTTCCGTTTTAGAATTAGAAGTATCTTTTAAATGAACATTAATAATTAAAAAATATTGAAGAGAAAATCCTTCAATTGTTTTAAATGAAGGACTTAATTTTTCAGTTGGTAAAATTAAATTAAAAGGAATAATTTCATCACTTTCTGGAACACCTTTTAAAACTTCAATTTCAATAATTTTTTTAGATAATTCTTTTGTTATTTTTTCAGTTGAAAATATTTCTTTTTTAATTAATTCTAAATTAATTGAAGTAAAAATATCTGAAGAATAATTTTTAGAAGTAACAACTTTTAATAATCCATGAATAATATCATTTACTTCATATGTTATTGATTCAACTGCAAAATGCATTAAAATTGGTCTTGTTAATGTTGTTTCAAATGATTTTTTAATTCTATGAGGTGATTTATTAATAACTCCAATTTCTATTTCTTTAATTATTTTTGAAAATCTTTGAATTGTACATTTAATTATATATCTTATTCTTCCAATATTTCCATAATAACTATTATATTTCTTTTCTATTTTTCCAAATGTAAATGGATATGTTGTTATTCCTTCTGATAATGTATTTGTTCCACAAATATCAATACAATTTCTTAAAAATTCTTTTTGTATTTTTGATGAATCATTTTCTATTTAAATTTAATTTCATTTTTTTTTTTTTTAATTATTTTAATTTTTGTTAAATTAAATTGTTTTTTACAAACCAATTATTCCAAGTAATTCCATTTTAATTCCATTATGTTCACATTTTTTATTTTCACATTGTATTTCTATTGTTCCAAAAACAGTATCTTTTTCAGTATAAATTGGAATAAACATTTTCTCTTTATTTTCTGTTTGAAATATTGTTTTTTTCCTATGATTTTCATCTAATTGAATATTAACATTAACTGTTGGTCCTCCAAATCCAAAGAAACTCTATTTGTAAATAATTTTTATTTTAATCGTTTCATTTTTTTTTTTGAAATTATTATTTCAAACCATTTTTTTTTCAAAATATACTATTTTTTGAGTTTTATTTTTTTAAGTTCTTTTTCTTTTTTTTTTCCCATTTTAATAACAAAAAAAATTATTAAATAATTATAAATAACAAATATCTAAATTAATCAAAAGGGTGATTTAATTATAAATAACAATGAATAATATTAATATTAATGAAATATAGTTTTTTTCGGTTTTCTCTTTTCGTGTTTCAAAACATAAAATTAAAATATTTGGGTTTTATTTTGTTTTATATTTGAATGTTTAATATTTTCTTTCCTTGGATTTTAGGATGAAAACTTTCAAATCAGTTAACACTAAATTGATGGACAGCCATCAAGAAGACTTACAACTGAAAATAGCGGAAATATTAGAAATCACACCAGATGGAAAAGATATTACTCAAACAGAAACAACTAAGCATCAAACTCCTCTTATTATTAAAGGGTTATCCAATAAAAAACCAACAACAGAAAATGTTGAGACAAATTTATTATTTGACTCATTAGATACTGAAGGAAGAGATTTGATTGATATTTATCAAATCAGAAAATATCTCGAGTTATCATCAGTCGAAAAGAAACCAATTTATTTGTTAGAAAAAGATATTCGACAATACTTAAATGAAATGACATCATTATCAAAACCATATTGTGTTAAAAGGAGTGAATTTGAACTATTTCTTAAATATATTAAGGATCGTCAAAATGATTTAAATGAACTACAACAACCTTGTTCATTATTAAAGGCTTATTCTAAATTTTATTCTAAATTCCAAATACTTAAAGAGAGTGATGAAAAACCACCTCATTTAATTCAAATAAAACGTGAAGATTTACCAAGTGAACTTGATAAATATCATAATCTTGTCTGTCGTGTTTTATTCAAACAACCAAAGTGGTTAAATACTAATAAACAATGGAATGGAATTATTCCCAATGATTATTTTAATTCAAAAAGATTTGAAAATACTATTTCACAAAGATTACCAGTTCCATTACTTAGAAGAAGAAATGTTTCACAAGAACGTCCAGAATTATTATTTGAATTATTTAATCCATTATATCAATATAAAGATCCTGCAATTAGTCTTGCTGGGATTCGTCCAATAAATGAATTAACAACAGAATTACCTAAATTACATGCTGTTCGACTTAAATCTATTTCTTTTGGAGGAGAAGATGCACCAGAACCATTAAGATTTATTCTTAGTGTTTATGATTCAAATTCAAGAGAAAAGATTACTGAAGATCTTGTGATTGAAAAAATGGAGATAGTACATTTGATGTATTTTTTAAAAGGACAAATTAAAGGAAGTGATATAATTTTAGTAGTTCGAGTATTAAGAAAATCAGGTGATGATATAGTACAAGCAAGAGAATTATATGCTAAAGGGTTTGAAGATAAAAAAGGAAAGAAAAAAATGATAGAAAGAAAATATGGAAATTATTGGCAACAATTAATGATTGGATTTGTTTCATTAAAAGGAGAGTTAGAAAAGAAAAATGGAAATTTACCAGTTCAGTTTTATAAAATAGAAACAGATAATGAAAGTATATGGGATGTTTATCAAAGTCAATTTAAAGGAAAAAAACAAATAGAAAGTGCTAAAGCACAATTTGAATTTAGTGAATTTGATTCTGATATTCAATTAATTAATGGAAAATATAAATTTGGAAAGAAAAATGAAGGAGATAGTGCAATTGTATTAGATAATTTATTAATGATAAAACAAACAGAAGATTTATTATATGATTATTATAACAGATTATATATTTATCCATTAGAAATTTCATTTGGGAAAGAAAAAAAAAGAAATCCAATGGTTGTTAGTGTACAATTAATGAATAATGGAAAACCAGTTAAATCATTTTATAAAATTGATAAAATTTCATTTGAAGATAATAATATTAGTTCATTAAGTGGAAGTAAACAAATACAATTTAATGATGAATTTAAATTAGAATTACCATTTCCATTAAATGAAAATTATCAACTTATTTTTAATGTTCAAGAAATTCATGAAGGAAATTCAATAAAAAAAGAATTATTTGGTATTGTAAAATTATATGAAAATGGACATATTGCAATTCAACCAGGAAAACTTACATTACAATTAGCTTCAAGTATTGAACAAGCAATGAAATATGATGAAGAAAATAAAAAAAGTTTAACAGTATTTTTTAATCTTTATTCAACAGTTTATCCAAGTAGTCCAATAGCACATGATGCAATTAATAAATTAGTTAATGGTAAAATTGATAATACATTTAATCAAATACCATTAATTGATATTATTCATTTTTTACCTCATATTCTAACATCTTTTTTAGAAAGTAAAATGGTACCAAATAAAGATGTTTTATTTATATTAATGAAAACAATTTGTGGACATTGTAATTCATCAGAAAAAAGAAATCAAACAGTTGAAACATATATTACTCACTATTGTTCATTCGAAACACAAGAAATTGCACTTAATTTAATTAAAACATGTAATTTAATATATAAATTTGATGAAATATCTCCACAAACAGAAATATTTAAACATTGTTGGTTAGTATTAGAATTATTAAGAAAATCAATTCAACAAACTGGTGCTGATGAAAACTTTTGGTCAAATGCAATAAATTTTATTAAAACATTTGGAGATACTATTAGAGGACATGTAATTAAAAAAGAAATTTTAGGTATGGAAGAAGGAAATGCACATATGTCATATTTTATAAGAACTCTTATTGAAATGGGATATAAAGCAGAAGGAATGAAATTAATGGAGGAATATCTTAATCATTTAACTTGGCCTTATGACCAACTTAAAAGAGGAAAAAAATTAGAATATAATTCTCCAGAAATGGTTGCACTTGAAATGATTAAAACACAATTTTTAGCAGTTTTTGAAGGAAGTTTAAATTTATATGAAGCATCTAATCCAGGAAATGTAGATGTTAGTGATATTGTTATGTTAGATGATTTATTATGGACTCGTCATTTTCCTATTGCATTTTTAATGAGACAACATATGTTATTATTAGGAAGAAGTGAAGAAATAAATAGAATTTCATTATATTTAATGGTTGGACTTGTTTCTAGACTTGATTTAGATGCTAATTTACAAGGACAACAAAAAGAATTTACAGCTGCAATGTTTTTACCTTTTGTTATGCAATTCTTAGAAAATTTTGAAAATTTTGCAAAATGGAAATTTGTACCATTCATTAAACAACATGAAGGAAATAAAAGTCAACAACAACAACAAAGAAGAAGTTTATCATTTAAATTAGGAGAAATTTCTGGAATAATAAATAGTCAACTTGTTGGATCTTCCTCACAAACATTTTGTGGGAATAATGGAACCCCAATTCAAAATGTAAGTGATATGGAAATGTTAGGATTATTATATGTTTGGGTATTAAAAAATTTAAATAAAGAAATGTTAAAAGAATGGATAGAAAATGAAGTTCCAAGTAGATTAGAGACATTAATTAAAATAATGACAAGGTTTTGTTTATTATATAGTTACTTTCCATTACAAGAAACAATTGATGTATATGAAGAAATTGATAGAAATATTAAATTAATTGTAAATGGATTAAAAGAACATATGTATTATATGGCTCCAATGCCAAAATTTCCTGGAATGGATTTTGGAGATTTAATAGGAAATGTTCCAGAACAAAAATTTGAAATACCTGTTATTCGATCATTAAGACCTATGAGAACTGATGATAGTTCACATAATAAATTACATAAAGTATTAAGTACTGAAGTAGTTAAAGTATGTCTTGATATGTTTAGTATTATTTTTGATAGTTTATTAAAACAAGAATCTTTTGAACAATTAGAATATTTAAAAGGAATTATAGCAACAAAATTATTTGAAGAACATGTTGTAAATGATGATGTTTTTGTATTTGTTAAAAATTTATTAATGAATTATAGAACTAATATCTTTTCTGGAAGTGAAGATTTTTCAGTAAAATTATTAAGCTCACTTATTAAATTATTTCAATCAAACTCAGCTCAGTTAAGAGGAAGAGGAGTTGAATTATTATATCTTTATATTAAAAATAATTTTATTGAAACAAATACTATATCAAGAAGTATTTCATTAATGGCTACTGCTGTTGTTGAAGCTGGTGATATTGCTGAAGATAGGTTTAATGCATCTGTTGAAGCACTTGATACAACACATATTGCTGATGTTGAAAATACTACATTATCAGTTAATCAAATTAAAAAAAATTTACTTATTCCTAATATTAATTCATTAAAAGCAAGAAAAACAATAATTAGAACAGAGTCATTAGGAGATATTGAAGCATTTGTTATTTTACTTAAACAAATGATTGAATTAAGAATACATCATCTTAAAATAATAAAAGAATTACCATCAACTCCTGTTAATGGATATTCAAAAATGATAGAAGAAATATTAGAAAAACCATTTTTTATTACTCAAGAAATGGTTGGAGTTGTTGAAGAAATAATGAAAAAATATAGTGATTTAAATGTTAGTGAACAAGTAAATAAAACAGTTGATATTATGAGAAGTAAATGGAATGAAATGAAAAGTTTAGAAATAGAAATGGTTGATATTTCTCAAACAAATAAAATAACTGAAAATGAAGTAAATGAACTTTGTATTAAAGTTAGAGACCAATGTGCAAAAGGAATAATATGGGCATTACTTACTATTAAAGGAGTTATTCAAAATGAACCTGATTTAAATAAAAATTATATCATAAGTCAATGTAAAACAGAAACTTGTAATAAAGAATCAGAAGAACTTATTCAACAATATAAAACTTCTTTAAAAATCATTGAAAGTAATCCATTATTCCCTGTAGGAATTAATGAATTTAATGAAATTATTAATGGAGCAAATCTTGTTCAAATTAAATATTCTGAAATGATTAAAAAATTAATTGATAATAA